AATGAATTGGGCTGGCGAGTAGACCATCTTCTACCAAATAGTTTTACCGCCAGTCTGACTGCTGATTATCCTTAGAGCTCTTATTTAGCTGATGATAAATTAAAATTAGCTCCATCTTATTTCCCACTATGCTAAGTTTATCAATAGCTTATTTTTTGCTTAGCCGTTGGCCATTACTTTAATTTGCCTCTAAATTCCCTTTATGTAAATCTGTATATCATAGTTAGATATGTAGTTTTGCTTTCTAATGATTTTTCTAGTCCTTACTTTTCATTATGACATCCAAGAAATAATCTTGAGAAAAGACATTTGGTGCGATGCTAGCATACCTTTTATTTATTTTAAAAAAGCAAATGGAAGGTATTTCTAAATTTTCTTCATGAGATACTGAAGGATTGCCTTGGATTAGTGACTGTCAGAATATACGAAGATCTCAGCCCATCGTCTTGCGACCCTGATGAATCCTTGCTGAGCTTTTGTACATTGTGGCAGACTTCGTCGGCGCCAGAAACCATCCAACGATCCTAATGAGGCATCTCGTGATGTTACTGGCTAATTTATGCTTGTAGTTGAAGTTGATGCATGAATGGGAAGCGGGTGTGACCACAGTTTTTTTCTATGTACGATCCTGAAATACTGATGCTTATTTGAAGTTCGTGAATGCGTGTGTTGGGTATGCAATACTCATGAGTCATTTGACAATTTAGCCCAAACTAGACTCCAGGTTAATCAAGCCTTCTTCTCTTACTCGATGGCTATTCCTATTCTTTAATTTATTTCAGTAGCCAGAGATAATTCTCGCTTAATTTTCTGCAATAGTAGTTCCTATTCATGAAGGAGCCAACCAGATCACAATATCCCATTAATATCGCAAAGCTATCTATATGTAGGTAGGATTTCAACCAGACATCTTTATTGGTTTTGTGTCTTTAGTGATTGTTCTTAAATCATGGTTTCTGGTTATGACGATGTCCGTCACATGACGGGCTCAGCAGGGATTCGAGGTCGCAGGACGGTGAGCCTAAGGCCTCATTCGCATATTCCAGCAATCACAAGTTCAAGGCAACCCTTCTGTAGCCGATGTGAAAAATTTGCTGACCCCATCCACTCGCCTTTTCAAACGAAATAAAAAGTATTCCAGCATTAATCTATTAAGGGATTCTTTGAAGCTTAGCTTCTCTTTTGTGACTATTCTTTCCATTTGAGGCAAAAGTTGTAAGAAATTCGTGAATCGTCTTCAACAGAAACAAGTTAGTCTTACGATAAACACTTCCCTTAAAATGAAAGTCCAGTGAAATAATATTATCAAATGATCCTTCTTAGCTCATGTTTTATTCGTATATTCAAAAATTTGCGTGACTTATTTCATTTATTTTACCTTAGGATTCTTCCCTTTCTTCAATAACCTTTGCTATTTTCATTGTTCTCCGTTTCCCCCTTATGCAATGGTAAGTATCTATCTCTGGATGCAACTGGAACCCATGATGGAAAACCCTTGGGACCCTGTCTGGTAGATATACCTAAACAGCCAAATACCAGTCCAACAAAAGAGCAACTTAAGCTTACAAATAAAAGTCTAACAAATGCCAATAGCGAAAATAGCCTTAGTACAAAAGGCTCCGGAATGATTTTACCTAGAATTCATGCACCAAACGGCTCATCTGATGTCAGTCCTGTTATGCTGACCGACTCAATTGGTCTTGAGCACAATATGCAGTTGTGGGAAGCAGCAGATTCTTTTACTGATTCCAATGAAGGAGGCAAGATACTCTCGGAGACAACCCCAATCCACCAGCAGCTAGGTGAGGCTGAGTATACATTTATTGACGCTGATACAAGCTGGGTGTCCATCGGTAGCAAAAAGTTGTCCGCCATCGATGGATGGAATGCCAAAAGTCCTTGTCGAAGTGTCACCAGTCAGACCAGCTCCCGCAGTGGCGAGCTGAGCGAAATTGATGACTGGGTCGAAGTGCTATCTCCTGGGTTCACTGGGAGAAGCCTCGATAACCTAAACTCGTTACAGAACTCTCCCACCTCACCTTGTTTTTAGGTCTATTTACTCGTCTTGCCGGCCAGGATCGGCACTAATCTACATGTGATAGTATTTTTGTGAACTCCAAATACGTTCTTTCCTGCTACATCGTAAGGATGTCCGGTCTGATTGGAGAAGGGAGACAGGCTTTTGTAGAACAAGATGATATAAAAATGAGGCGAGTGTAAAAGTCGCGTAAGATCGGCACATAGGGACCAGAATGTGATTATGCAGACGCTTTCGTTAAGCATAGGTGGGTGCCCTCTCCTTAGCCATATTACTACAGTTCTTTCTAAATTAATTAATTGTATGTACGTGTCGCCCTACAATCGGTTACTGGTTTAACGTAGTTAGTAGCTAGTAGAACCAATAGGAAAGCTCGTGTGTTTTAGTCTATGAGCCATTATAAAAACTATATTTGAGAGTAATAAGAAAGTATTGTGTTATCTTGTCACTAGACAAATCGGCGTATTCCACCCAAGGTGCTGGTCCGGGAAAATAGAGAAAACTGGTTAAGTGCGTTGACTCAACCAGGTGTGAAGAGAATACTGTCTTAGTTCGATAGGTAGCGTGAGCTGTGTTGCC